TCTTCTTATATTATCTTTCTTATGTTATCATTACCTTATTCTCTTTAAGTTTTCTTCTATATATATAGCTCCTCTTGAAAGATGACCGTTAGATAGAGAAGTTAACTTCAAGAGAGTAGGTACCCGTTTGATGTCAGGTCAGACTTTAGTCTATGTTGTAGGGTTAAGATCTTTTTCTTACAACCTTAAGCGGAACTAAGCTTGTACGATGTGGCTAAGCAAAGGGTTTCAAGGGAAAATTTCCTAGAATGTTCTTCTTCTCTCATAGCACAAGAAAGAAAGTATATAAGCATCGAGGTTCTTTATAATACATGCATTAAATATTTTGAACGTTGATAAGCGTTAGACACTGTTATGTGTTCAAGACATTTTATCCTTTGTCCTTTCATTCGTAAATGCATCGTTTGGTAAGACATATAGCATGTATAATCATCAGATGATATCAACATAAGATGTTTTTCCAAAGGTTGTAACAATTTTAACAATCATTCTTCAGACGATGTTTTCTTGTAAAAAGGCTTTGATTGATATAACACTATATTGAATAAAAACTTCTTTTAACCTTAGTATTATACAAGAGATAGACTTTTGTTTTCATGAAACGCTAGTTTATTTTCCTCATAAAGTCTATTAGATGATTGCAAAGAAAGATACCTTCTTTCAGATGTTGTTTATGATTTTCTAATTCATTTAGACAACTTGGTCTAAACAACGTTGTTTATTATCTTGGCTTCAGGCATTATAAAGTATTTCTTCTTTAATGTTGGTTCTTTAAACAACTTTTCATACATAACAATATGTACTGTAGCATTATATTTTACTAAAGCATTATACGTAATTTTTCCGTACCATAAAATTTATCTATTATCTTAAATATAATTATTTTTCAAGGGTCTTACAGGCTCAGCCTCCTCTACCAACTTCAGTTCATTATCCTTCAACCCTATATGCTCGCCTTTACGAGTAACGACAAAGGGGCCCTCCAAACCACCTACATCAGACTATTTGCTGCCTGAACCTGAACTGCCAACTTTTCCAAGAAGCTAAACTCTTAGCTTTTTCCTATCTTTACCTATGCCCTGCTTCCTTAATGGCACAAACCTCTTAATTCCACTGAAGGGCCGATGAGTATCTACAATTGGTCCCTTTAAGTTACAAACTATAGTCTCTTTAGCCTTCTTGGCCTCCTTGGCCAGTTGGTTCCTTATCTTGCAAAACATCTCCTCATCAGCTCTAGTTTTTGTAGCATGTTGGCCTTGTAACCTACAAGCACCACAAAATTTTTAGATCAACTAAAAATTACTCAAGTTACAGGCTACTCTATACGTACCACACAAGTTAGTAATCGACTTTGGAGATAGGTAAACTCTAACGATATTATTAGTAGGTAGCTTTTGCAGGAGCTACTCCAAAATATTCTCCGATCCTTCTCGAACAATATGTCATTTGACCACTCCTTATACCTAAGGGGGTTATTAGTCCAATAAAAGAGAAATTTTGGGTTGTCGTTATCATCATAAAAATATGAGCGACCAGTCGAGTTCACCACACGCTAAAAAGCCCATTCTTAAACTTCTTCAAAGATTGAGAATAGGTACCTAACAAACATGTACTTAACTTGCTCACCAAGGATAGTCAAGTAATGGGATCCTTTGGCCGCATTATGTAAAAATAAAGAAAGCACTCAGGTGAAGGACATAAATAAATAGTCTAGCATATTAATCTAAAAGCTTGAAGGCAAGTGCAACTATTCAAATGAAGTTGTATTGGTGCAACATTTAGAAGTCTAAGCACACCTATGGTAAACTCGTCAAAGGGTAAGCGAACATGCAACTAAAGGAAAAAAGTTATATGCACATACAAGAACTCTTTTTCATACCCCTCTCGACCATGACAAACATTGTCAATAACACTCACCCTCCTAAGTGATACTATGTCCTTTAACACTCCTCTCTCAAACACATATATGCTATTCAACCAGGAATTCAAATTTCTAGACCACCTAAATTTTGAAAATTGAGTTCTTACTAAAGGATCTACCCATTTGTACCCCTCCCTTGTGGGTAGTCGAAACTCAACGGGATTTTCAGTAATCACCTCCATTTCCACCCCTATGGTATGGGATGATGATGTGTCTAAGGACATTGAGATTCAACTACTATTACTACTACTAATATTTGACTCCTCCCTAGAACTCATATTTGATCTACTACAAGACATATATTTGAAGTAATCAATCTTGAAATTATTCATTCTTCTCACAAGGTATCAAAAACATAGCAATTTCCCATAACTTGGTTCAAAATGTGAAAAATGAGACTCATGTTTATAATAGAATTTGTGACTTTTTACCTTTCCATGCTTTCCCCTCAACCATTAGATCTCTCCATATCTAAAGGCGGGTTGCGACTCTACTCATTCCAAACATTTATCATTTATTGTGCAAAACAGTAGTCTCATACCTCTTCACCTTCCTTACCACATCATATCTGATACTTCATCATTACAATATGATTAGGTGTATTATGTGATGTTATACTAAATAAATAGGAATGGATTGAGTACGTGTTGACTTTAATAGTCGACGTTAGAACTCTTCTATGTTTAATTATGTTAAAACTCTTTTATTTTATTTTTTATATAGCTTTTATCATATTTTAATTTGTTTTTATTCTTTTGTTTTAGCTTGTTTTTATTTGTGAAATTTTGCACTTAAATTATTATCAATGTGAAATTTTAACAACTAGAATGAGAACCAAGCTATACCATAATTAACTTAATTGTATATACCTCTTCATTTATATTATAGACAAATTATAGTAATTCATCAATATTAAAATGTGAAACAGATAGATTAATTCTACCCACACTTTTTCTTGAAGGTTAACGAATCAACCCTCATTATCTGTTCTTCGTTGCCTTCCCTAACCATAATTAACTTGATTGTATATACTCTTGATTTATTTCTCTTTTTAAAATTACAGTAAGCAAATTAACTTGGTCTTAATTTAATTATCTTTCAAAAAGTGATTAACATTTGTTGTATAATGCCTTAGGAAACAAATTTTACATGTATGGTGTTTAAGGAAAAGTCCACCACTGATACTTATTTTAACAAGAATGGAGTTGTATGTTGTTGATTATTGACAATGTGGTTACTTCTATCACAAGGAAAAATTGACCCGAGAATTTGAAGTATTCATCACTTATTTTAATTCGGTAAAATCTTTCGTAGCTCGGATCATTGACCACATTAATTGGTGGCTAAATAAATAGGCAATTTAAATACAATTCTTTTCGTCTTAACAAACACTTTCAGAGTAAATAAACTAAATTTCTCCCATTCCATTAAAAAACATTAAATTAATTTTAATCCAATTTACTTTTTAATTCCTTTTCTATAAATAGATATTGAAGTTTTTCTAAAACTGCCGTAGAAAGTTACAATGTCTAAATTAATTAATTACATAGTAAATTATAAAAATATTTTTTATTTAGTTTTATTAAGAGGAAACATTAATTAAAATTTAAGAATAATTAATTATAAAGTAACTAATTCATTAAAGTGAAAATAATATTTAAATTTATTTTTTTAGGTAACATTTCATAAAGATAAATAAATTTAAAGAATACTTAAACTTTTATTATAAGTTTATATTTCAATATAATTTTAATTCATTTTGTTAATATCATTAATAAAGTATTAAGGGTTTTAAGGTTAGTTTAAACTAACAATTAAATACAATACTTTTAGGATTGACTAATACATACCTCACACATAATTAATTTTTATGTAATTATAGAATGTAATTAATTTTTAATAACAAGATTGTGTTAAAATATTAAAATTGATAAAATGAATAATTTAATTTTAAAATTTTAATATTTATACTTTTTTAAATTGTTATAGTAAAAAATTAATTTTATTAATAGTAATAAATATATAGGTGTATGACTAATTATGCATATAGGCATGATCAATTATTTCTCATGAGATGACTATGCATGCATTAGTAGTCCAGTATCTTTTCTCAATCAATTCAATTCAATTATGCATATATTACATTTGTATATCTCTTAATCAATTCAATTCAACTATACACGTTATAATTGGTCATATATAGTAGGATAAATTTGTAAAATACAATTCACAGAAAAATACGTATTAATTTTTAAAAGAACAAAAATTTTAATCCTAAATTGGTAAAACCTGATAAAATAATCCCTAATTTAGTGTAAATTGATTTTATAATTACATTTTAATGACAAAGATCATGTGGAATTGAATAGAAGAATAATTCTGGCACTTTTATAACCATTGGCAACTAATTTAAATTTTTTATTCTTTCTTTCAATATATATAAAATTTAAGAAAATATAGATTTTTTTATTAATTAAATTATTTGAAATTGTATAACATTATAATTTAAGAAAATATATACTTTTTATCAATTAAATTAATTCAGATTTATAATATGTTTTGTATCACCAACATCGGTATTTATCTTAACCAATCATTTGTTAGAATTTTTTTTAATGTGCCGCCATCATTATGAGTTATTTTCTATTAATATAAAAAATTAAATAACTAAAAATGATAAACAAAGTTCAACATCATAAAAATAATTCTAAGTAATACAAATCTAAATAATAATTAATAAAAAAAAAAAACTTTCGATCTAAGCAAAAGAAAAAGACTTCAGTAATATTAATTGAAAATGTTTGACAAAAGATCAATTAAAAAATTTATTTCTAAATTTATTAATAATTATTTAATATTTAAATAATTTTGACATTAAATAATAATAAAAGCGTTTATCTAACAAGTTAAATTAATGTAAATTTAAAATATCAAATTAAATACTTCAAAATAAGATGAAATTAAATTCAAGTATTATGAAAACAATATAACAAATTGATCATTTACCCCATTCTTAACCTTGAGGTAAGATACACATTAAACATTGTTGAGGTGTGAATAATATCAACATGACAAGGAATTTATGTACAGTTTAGACATGGATTAAAAGTAAAACAAAGAACTACAACCTAAATTGATCAGTGCTTTAGTGAGCATGGAACTGATGATCCGACCACCCCACCAAACCATTATTCTAAACACCTTCCCAAGATCTATTACATGGTTCATGGTACACAACACAGAATGTACAAGGAAAATAAATTAATGACAGAAAATATATAGCTTCTGGGAAGGAGAGTTCAAAGTAAACCTCACATAACAAATAAAATCACTTCCTACCCAGCCTTACCAAATGCTGCTGATGTTTTGCTTCAGCAGCCTTATCAGCAGCTTCCCTTTTCTGTGCTCTCTTTGCCCTTCTGCCTGTGCTACTTTTCCCAACCTCTTTCTTCTTCGGCTCTCGCGACGAACTTGCTCCTGTTGCTCCTGAATCCTGGAAGTTCGCTCGGTTAACTGGCCGAGCTTCTTGTCGACCAGCCCTAACGTAGCCGTTATCTCCCCATCTGCGGTTGCCGATACGAAAACTTGACGAACCACCATAATAAGCTTCATCCATATCATCGTCCACGTCCTCGTCCTCATACTCGTACTGATAATAATCTCCTAGTTCCTCGTATGCATCTTCGTGAACCACGTGTTCGTCAACAGATAAAGGTTTGAACCATGAGGCCCGGAGTAGCAGACAAACACTCTCCTCAAACATGTAATCTTGAATGCTGCAAGTGTAAGAACATCATATAGCTTGGAATAATTGTCAAACAGAAATTGTAAATATTCAACAATTCACAAATACAATGTTAAAAGTTTAAGCAGTTGCCGAAGCTACATTATTTTCACTATTTGTTACAATAATGTTTAATAATTTAGGTTGCTTTAATAAGATATGGTAGTAATTTTTAAGGATATTAGCATTTTGTTATACTAGTCTTGAATAATAGTATAGAGGATCCACTCCCATACAAAACTTGAAACGGAATAAAATAAAAAAAAGGTACCATAATTACCTGCCATCAAGCGTGCGATGAATATTGAGAAACTCGAATGGATGTTTACACTGAGGACAAGTAACTTTCTCACGGTACGTAGCCCATCGAAGAATGCATGTTACACTGCACAAAAATCAAGTAAAACAATAAACAAAAATATGCAGAACAAACATTACAAAATGATGACGATGATGACAAAAATAATGGTATCTAAATTTCACAAGCTAGAACAACTGATACAATATTATTCAGCAAAAAATTTACAAAAGAACATCGTTTATTTTATATGAAGATATACCAAGTTTCTAATTTTCTTCCCGGGTATTAAAAAAGGCAATTACATACCCTATATGATCAACTATGATGGGTAACAGCCATGTCAGAATTTAGAGCAGAGATCATTACACAACAGTGATGTTTTCAAGTCCAGTAAAGAGTTACTTCATAAAAAGATTTCCACAGAAACAGCATCTTTTTCATGAGAGATGCTTTCCCCAATCATTAACAGAAGCTTGACGGGCCAGCCAACAATTTCCAAGTGTTAGTTTCCATTGCTGTGAAAGAAAATGCATGGAACGAAAAGGAAATACTACCAAATCCAAATAGAACAAAATTTTCTACAATGATTTGACAGTTTCATTTTGAGTTTACACCAATATTTGTTCTATGCAAAATTGATAATATATCTAGGTTTTATCCCAATATGTATCCCCTATGTTCTAAATGTTTAAGTTGTTAAGTGAAAACAACCGAATGGTGTTACTAAATGTTCAACAACTAGGTTAGGTTTGATTTGACTGGTAGTAGCATTTTGAGTTTACACCCAACATTTTTTCTATGCTGAAGTGATAATATATCTAGGTTTTATCCCTATTCGTATCCCATTTTGAGAGCACACCTAACAAAATGTCATCATGTTCACAAGTCTGAGTTGGTTTGACACTTTAGGTAGTAATGTTTGTTTCTGTAACGATGATTTCAAAATTGTAGACTGATGTTTAATTTTCCTCGTTGTGGGGGAAGGGTTGCTTTAGAACATTCTCAGTTGTATACTTTACATTCATGGATGTGATGAATTCTTCATGATATATATTCAGTCATATCCTATCTATTCAAGTTATCTCAGTTGATCAACGATGATACATATCATGATCAATTGCAATTTTGGAGTCAAGTGATTGGTTGTGCTTTATATGGTGGAGGCAATAGTTGTTTAGGATCTTTTGTTTCCTTTAAATGAATAGGCTGAAATTTGTCACTGCATGAGATTGATCTGGTATATATTGGTCTTGTGCCAGCAATTGTGAAAAGGGTTAAATCATGTCATTCGTTTCTATTTTTGTAAGAAAATCTCAAATCGGTCCCATTTTTTTCTCAAACGTTTCAATTTGGTCCCTATTTTAGAAAATTTTATCTGGACTAACAACGATAAAGAGGAGGCATGTGTCAGTTTGTGGTTTTTGTTGATTTTTTATTTTTTTAATTTTTTATAAAAATAAAATTTTGCAACATGTCAAACTGATGTGATGTCGTGTGTCATGTGGCGGTACAATATGATGTGGTGGCAGAGACAGTGTTATGTTTCACTGTCACACCAAGTCTCATTGCCTTAGTTTCAATTAGGTGTTTCACTATCACACATGGTGTCATTGTCTTAGTTTCAATTTGGTGTCTCTAATTTTATTCGGTCCCAATTCAATCCCAATTTTTTTAAAAATTAAATAATTTTAAAAAATTAGGATTGAATTGAGACAAAATAAAATTATAGAACAAAATTGGGACTAAGTCTAACACTTGACATGGTGATAGTGACATGTGGCATTTCCATTGCCACATCACACTATCACGAACACGAAATCAATGACACGTGGCAATTTTTTTATTTCTTCAAAAGTTTTTGAAAAGATAAAAAAGCCGCAAACTGTCATCTAACACTTCTCTAACATGTTAGTATAGTACTAACCAAAATGACTTGATTGTATTAAATTTCTCAAAAATTGAGACCTATAAAAACAGGTGACTGATTTGAGATTGTCCTACAAAAATGTGAATGAATGACATATTTAACCTTGAAAAAAAGTATAGGTCCAATCTAAATCTGGATTATGTACTGGACATATTTTAGTTAATTTTTAATGCTATTCTACACTTAACATTTCCACACAAACAGGTTTATATGATTTTGTATTTTTACCTTTTTGTTCTAAATGCTCTTGTTGGCTAATTACGTGAGC